CGTCGATAGTAGCCTGCCAACCCCAAGAAACTCTGAATCTCTGTAGCTGATGCTGGTCTGGGCCAGTTCTTGACTGCCTCAATCTTCTTTGGGTCCACCTGAATACCCTCTGCTGATACGACATGACCCAGAAATGCAACTGAACCCAACCAGAATTCACACTTCGAGAACTTAGCATATAACCGACTATCCCTCGGAGTCTGAAGAACCATTCTAAGGTGCTGCTCGTGCTCCTCCTGGCTGCGGGAATATATCAATATATCATCAATGAAGACTATCACGAATGAATCCAAATAAGGCCTGAACACTCGGTTCATCAAGTCCATGAAAGCTGCTGGGGCATTTCTCAACCCGAATGACATAACCAAGAACTCATAATGCCCGTACCGAGTGCGGAAAGCTGTCTTAGGGACATCGGATGCCCTAATCCTCAACTGATGGTAGCCAGATCGCAAGTCAATCTTGGAAAATACCCTGGCACCCTGAAGCTGGTCGAACAAATCATCAATCCTCGGCAGTGGATACTTATTCTTGATCGTTACCTTAGTCAATTGCCAGTAATCAATACACATTCTCATTGACCCATCCTTCTTCTTGACAAATAACACCGGTGCACCCCAAGGTGAAACATTGGGTCTAATAAAACCCTTCTCAAGCAAATCCTGCAACTGTTCCTTTAAGTCCTTCAACTCAGGCGGCGCCATACGATACGACGGGATAGAAATAGGCTGAGTGCCCAGAATCATATCAATGCAGAAGTTAATATCCCTGTCGGGTGGCATACCCGGCAGGTCTGAAGGGAAAACATCAGGAAACTCACAAACAACGGGCACAGAATCAATAGAGGGAACCTCAGCACTAGAATCACGAACATAGGCTAAGTAGGACAAACACCCCTTCTCGACCATACGTCGAGCCTTCACATACGTTATAACACTGCGGGTAGAATGACCAGGAGTCCCTCTCCACTCTAAACGAGGCATACCCGGTAAAGCTAAGGTCACAGTCTTGGGATGGCAGTCCAAGATAGCGTGGTAAGGTGATAACCAGTCCATCCCCAATATAATATCAAAGTCGACTATGTCTAAAAGCAACAAATCTACACGAGTCTCAAGACCCCCAATCACCACAACACAAGAACGATGGACTCGATCGACCCCAATAGAGTCACCCACCGGTGTAGACACATAAACAGGAACACCCAATGCATCACTAGGCATGACTAAGTACGGGGCAAAATAAGATGACACATACGAATACGTAGACCCCGGATCAAACAACACTGAAGCATCTCTATCACAAACCAGAACCGTACCTGTAATAACCGCATCTGAAGCCTCTGCCTCGGGTCTGGCCTGAAGAGCATAACATCGGGGCTGGGCCCCACCACTTTGATCTACCTCTCTGGGACGGCCTGCTGCTGGCTGGCCTCCACCTCTGGCGGTCTGAGCTCCACCTCTAGGACCTCTACCTCCACCTCTAGCACCTCTACCCCACCTCTAACTGGCTGGGCGGGCTCTGGAACACCTGGTGCCTGAACCGTGGCACAAGAACCCTGATGCTGAGAACTGCTCGGTGCTCGAGGGCAAAATTTAGCAATATGACCCGTGTCACCACAAGTGTAACAAGCCCTCGGCTGCTGAGTCGTCTGGCCCTGTCGACCTTAATGGCCACCACAGAAACTCTAAAGTGGCAGTGCACTGATAGGAGCTGGCGGTGCACTGAATGGCTGCTGATCAGAATAGTGCACGTGAGAACCACGGCCACCTGAGGCACCGTGAGAAACCTGGAGGGCTGACTGGAAAGGCCTAGAAGGATAACCTCTATCATACGAATCTCTGCCTCCAGACGAGGCACCACTAAATCGGCCTGACTGACGGGGCCTCTTGTCTGCCCTGTGACCACCCCCCTGTGATAATACCATCTCAACTCTCCGGGCCACATTGGCCGCCTCCTGAAAGGATATCTCGCTCCCAGCCTCTCTAGCCATCTGGAGACGAATAGGCTGAATGAGTCCATCAATAAATCGTCTCACTCTCTCCCTCTGAGTGGGAAGTATAATAAGAGCATGGCGGGCCAAATCAATAAACCTGGTCTCGTACTGGGTGAGTGTCATGGATCCCTGCTGGAGACGCTCGAACTACCTTCGATAGGCCTCTCGCTGTGTAATAGGGAGAAACTTCTCCAGAAATAGATGCGTGAACTACTCCCAAGTCAAGGCTGGCGATCCTGCTAGCCTAGCTAGACAATAATCCCTCCCCCAAGTCTTGGTGGATCCAGACAAGCGAAATGTAGCGAAATCAACCCCATTGGTCTCAACAATACCCATGTTCCGAAGAACCTCGTGGCAACTGTCCAGATAATCCTAAGGATCCTCGGTAGATGCACCGTTGAAGGTAGTAGTGAAGAGCTTGGTGAACCTATCCAATCTCCATAAAGCATCGGCAGACATGGCTGCCCCATCACCGGCTTGAGCTACTACACCCGGCTGAGCTGCTCCAACTGGCACTGTTGAAGTTTGAATCTGGGGAGCTACCTGCTCCGGAGTACGAGTAGCAGGAGTCTGGGCCCCTCGTCCAGCCTGAGAGACGGCTGGTGCTACAGGAAGCAAACCTGCTCGGGTGACACTCTCCATAAGACCCACCAATCGGACCAGAGCGTCCTGAAGAACTGGGGTAGCAATAAACCCCTTTGGGACCTGAGCTGGGCCCACCGGAACTGCTGGGGCTGGGGCCGGAACCTCCTCGTCAAAGTCAACCTGAGGCTCTGCCACTGGTGCTGCTGCTCGGGGTTGAGCTCTGCCCATACCTCGGCCTCTAGCACAGCCTCGGCCTCGCCCTATGCCCCTAGTGCGAGCTGACTGGGGCTTAGACTGCTGATCGGTAGATGAGGAAGCGCGTGTTCTCACCATCTGCGAAAGAACAGAGTAGAAATTCAATTAGCATTGAGAAATCAAACCGCACGACAAGAAAGAACAAATGTTAAACTTTTCCTAATTCTGTAGCCTCTGGGGGATAAATACAGACGTCTCCGTACCGATCCCTCAGACTCTACTAAGCTTGTCCGTGAGTTGTGAGACCTATGTAACCCAGAGCTCTGATACCAACTTGTCATGACCCAAAATTCCCACCCTTGGGGGTCGTGATGGCGCCTACTCGTAAAAGCTAGGCAAGCCACAAACCTTTGAAATCATCAACCCTTTTCGTTTTATACTTGTTAAGGAATTAAATTAACAATGGAAAAGCAATTAAATAACAGCGGAAAGTAAACTTTTAGCGGAAGTCTTAGATAAATAGAAAACCAAAATGCACAATAGCCAATACATGTCTCTACCCAGCACCTGGTGTCACAACATACACGGACTATCTAAGAGCGCTAAATACAAGGGTCTGAAATAATGAAATAAAACTCTGTCTCGGGTACAAAAGGAAACAGATCATAAAACAGATGGAAGAGATGCCGGGCCTGCGGACGCCTGCAGGACTACCTCGGAATCTCGTGGACTGAAGGATGGCTCCCGAGCTACTGCTGTTGTCTGATACCTGGATCTGTGCAAAAGAGCACAGAGTGTAGTATCAGCACAACCACCCCATGTGCTGGTAAGTGCCTAGCCTAACCTCGGCGAAGTAGTGACGAGGCTAGACCAGACCACCACATAAACCTGTGCAGTTATATATTTACAGCGGAAATAGAGATACAGAGATAACCAGTCAATATGGGAGGGGGAGCATGTTGCGGGAAAGATAGCAACTATGATTAAAAGTCATCAAGTAACGAATGAAGCAATATAACTCAGACAACAATAATGAATCAGAAATCAATAAGTGCACGGCATCACCCTTCGTACTTTTACTCTCGTCCTCACCAAGCAATGATATAATAAAACGTGCACGACATCACCCTTCGTGCTTTTACTCTCTTTCCTCACATATAATAAATAGAACGGCACGGAATGGTACATCGTGCGGCACGGCATCACCCTTCGTGCTTTACACTCTTTCCTCACAATAGGCAAACAATGCACGACATCACCCTTCGTGCTTTAACACTCTTCCTCACCCAAACAACAATCACAAACAAGGGGCAAGGGAATAAACAGAATAATAATAGAAATCCCGGCAAGGGAACATAATTTAAACAATTAAAACCCGGCAAGGGCACAACATCAATAATCCCAACATCCTGGCAAGGGAAATAAGCAACAAAGTAACAATATCCCGGCAAGAGAACAACTTAATAACTCTTTCTCTTTATTTCACTTTTATTTCATAACTCACTTTACCACTTGAGCCAATGCTCCAAAGGGTTCAATCATTTCATATACTTTCACAATTTGTAATATAACTTGAGCCAATGCTCCTAGATGTTCAAAGGTCATAATTTCCTTCCACAAGCTTTTCACAACAATTAGGAATCATTACCGAGGCAAGAAAATACAACGAAATCAAGATATTCACAATTTAAGGACTCACGGTCATGCTAGACACCAACATATAGATACTCGTCACCATGCCTATACGTCGTACACAACAAATTCCACATAGCAACACTACTGGAAATTGGGCCTATAGCAACGGACGCATATCCGTTGCGATAGCCACGAAAACCGTTGCAATAGAGCTATTGGGACGGTTTGGGGACCGTTCCATCAGATCGCGTGCCAATAGATCTGTCGCAACGGTTTGCATAACCGTTGTTATATCACTATCTATTGCAACGGTTTTTTCTTCCTCTTACAACGGAATTTTTAGTCAATTGGAACGGTTAATAACCGTTGCTGTATCGTTTTATGCAACGGTTATTAAAGCTATTACAACGGTTTTGAGTAACTATTGCAACAGTTTTATTGAGACTAAAATTAGTATTGAATATATAGCAACGGTTCAAAGTACCTATAGCAACGGTTCAAAGAACCTATAGCAACGCCCCAAATAGGTTACCCCTGGTTGTGAATAAATACTTACACATAATAAAATATAATACACTAAAAGTTATATATATCACGAAATGAAACAATTCATAAGCACAATCCAAATTATCCAACTAATAATATCAATAAAAGCAAAATATCAAACTGTTTTACAATTCAAGAGTTCGCATAAGTTTCAAAATGATCGAAAAGAAAAGATCCTAGAAGATCTAAAATTCGGCAACTATCCAAAATTAAGCGAGGTCTTCACTGCTTCGTCTTTCCTTTGCTCATTTACTTCACCTACAAAAAATGATAAATAAGGGTATGAGATAATATTCAAGTTATGTTCTTCATTTTAGCAATGTTAAATAAACACTAGTATTTTTTTGTTTGCTTCAAATAGACTAATGATAAAAGCACAAGCATATAAATGGATTTGGCTGCTATCGAGTACTGGAGTACATTAACTTTCACCAATTTTACTAAGAAGGTCCATATACTTAACAACCACTAGATTTTCCATCTAAAATTTAAGAAATCTTTTCCTTAACCCAATCATGTTTTCTTTTTCTTTTTTCTTTTTCCAATAGAAGAACTGGTTTAATCAAAGGTATATCTGAGTATAGAGACACCTTATCCATTACCCAATATTCCAATCCTTTACGACCTTTTCGCTCAAAATTAACAAAAGATTCTTTGAATTTAATTATCTTTCAAGCATCATCACAGTAACAGATGGGAAGCAAGAATCGGACAAGTGTTTGGAAGCAAATATAAGCATTTAGGTACTTACAGTAAGTACTTAATTTCACTCCATTTAATTTCTTTCAACGACATATCAAATCAAGATTATTGACAGAGAAAGAAGAAACTAAAACTTAGTAGTCATCTATGAATAGATGAGTAGTAGTTTATTCACAGAATTACATATGAAAAAGTTCAATTGTAAGAATGAAATATCCTTATTTAGCAAAGAAATTAAATAGAGTAACTCGCTTTTCATTGTCCCAAATGAGTATTGCGGAGCACAAAACGAGGTCAATCAATATGTCAACTAAAATGAAGAATCTTTAAGAGCCCAAGAACAGATAGACCCCGAGATCAATAAAATCTTAAAGTAACAAGTCTGACACTAAAACAACTCACTCAATTTAGACATTTTCCTTTCCAAATATCCCAATTATTTCCATTGTTACTGAAGAAGGGGGTAAACAGAGTATCCAAAATATGCTTAGAGGACAAAAAATAAAGTGGAACAACGAGTCTCTTCAAAAGGCCTCAGTGGAAAAGATCCAACGATTGAACCTTTACATCAAAAAATTTAGTCTCTGCCCCTAACTCTTATCCATAACTTATTTTAATCAATACTTAAACATGGTTTTCAACCTTTACTAATAAAAAGATATGTTGCTCGGATCCTCCAATAATGTCACTGGGTGCGTGTCAGGATCCTCGAAAGTAATGCATTTGGAGGATTCGACACGGGTGCGGTGGCATTTTTTGGACGAGACCAGCAACATAGCTCAAAAATATCACCAACACACAATTTTCAGACCATATCCTAGACCCTGAATGGTTACTATATGTTACCTACTTTCATACCCAACCAAATGCTGTAAAATTATCCATAGTAACATTTTCCTCCATAGAGACGCAAACCTGCCCCTACATCTTCAAATTACCTATCTCCCTCCTTTACCACAGACAAACTGAAGCATCACCAATTAAAGACAAATGTGATAAATCGCCAACAATTCCAATTAAAGAGAAGCTCTAAGTTCCTCCTATATGAGAACACCAGCTAAGCCCAGTACATCACATATTTTCAATAAACGTTCAAATAACAATCTATGCGCAACAATGAAGACTTAAAGAACTCAAAATGTGCCTTAAAAGCAAAATTAGTAATGAGGCATACACGAAACAATTGCTCAAAATTGCATCACTGTTCCTACTTTCCTGTCTATCAATTCAACTATATCAATTCCTCTGGTTTTGGCATACTGATCCTATTCAAAAATTCAACTATTAAGAGCCCAAATCTTTGTACTTGCTCTTCACCAATTACATTCCTAGAAGTCTCATTCTCTATGGCTAGATTTTCATCTATTGATTCATTACCATAAGAAAATTATGAATTAAGTTCACTCTCAAAGAAAATTATAGGTTTTTATAATGTCAAGTTTAACCTCTAAATTATTCATACCATTAATATCTCATATAATTAACTTGTACTTCTAATGTTAAATCCAATGTTTCTTATATAAGTATCCTCACGGATTGCTCAACAGTTAATGGCATACCTCTCAAACCTTGATTCCATAAGTAAAACCTTCAGATAAATAATGCTTTCGTGGAAAGAGAGAAAAGTTTTCAGGAAACTATTATCTTGCTTATTTGAGCGGCGACTGTAGCTCAAGGTTTTGGGGAGAGGGATTCAATAGAACTAAAGCTTTAAAAAGCTCTGCAAATAAGATATTAAGATTACTGATCTTAACAATAATAAGAAAAGTACTATGTTATGCATAAGATATACATAATTTTCACTCCACAATTTTCATTTTCCAACAACTAGATGCACAAAGATGCCTCATTTTATTTCTTAAAAAGATGCCCCAATTACTGAAAGTGACTAACATACCTTCATGATATAATAAAGGCATTGAGGGAGATTTAACATTCTCAATTAAAAAGGAAAACATAGCTGGTTGGACTCTTTAGATAACAGAAGAAAGCATCAGAAGTTGGGAGGCCATAGATTGTAAGAAGTTGAGAAGACTAAAATTTACTAGCTGAGCCATGCTATCATATCACCTTTACAACACAGTAAGCTTCGAAACTTCTACCTCATAAACGACAACTACTAAAGCCTATCATTAAGAAAGCAGAATAGTAACATCTTATTATCCAAAATGCAAACCACATCGATCTTCTTTTACATGCAATCTACCATACAAATACTATTTTAAAGTATACAAAGATATTTCTTTTAAATATTCTCACATCGTATATAAAATTGCATAACCAGGATGATCAATAAAAAACAGTAATCAAAAGTAACTAAATATATTAAGTGGTTTCTTTCTAAAGCTAATACCAGCAAGATATTTGAAAGTTCATGTTTCAATGTTAAGCACCATCATTAGTTTTAACAATCATTACTATCGAAGTGGAATCTTCTCATTCTAAAAATCATATTTTTATGTTTTGATCTTATGTATGACTAGACAAAAAGATCAATACAATAAGTTTTAAAAAAATAAATTATAATATTGATATACAATTAGCGCTTCCAGTAAATGGCATCTATATTTGTTTGGGACACTCAAAGGTGTTGATTGTGAAATATTTTCAAACATCTTCTGAGCACAGAAATTTTAACATTGTTTAAAGCACATAAGGCACACATTTCCCCTAAAAATTCTAGAATGTTCAATTTAACGGGCTACTAACATTTTACTCCTAGGTATTGCCATTAATTAAGCCTTGAAACTATAACCAATTACTCTACAACTTCTCTATATTAAAACAGCTCAAAGGAACCAAGCAGAAAAAAATACAATAAATTCTAAAAGCTCAAGAGTGAACTTCAATCAAGCATACAAACTTGCAAATAAAGTGTTTGACTTCGCTTGGAGTATATATCGGGAAACCCTAATAAGATGATATACTTGGAAAACCCCAATTCCCACACAATTAGGGTACAAAATTAGGTAGAATTGCAAGAGAAAAAAAAATCAAAACAACATTGATAACTTACCCAAGCACAAAGAACTTTGTGATCTCACATCAACTGGTAAGAATACAGAGAAGCCAAATGCTAAATCTTTGTCGCTGCCATTAAATTACTTACCCAAGGCTATGTGTGAGCTAGAGGATGTATATTGGAGAAGCAATTTGGTAGCCTTTGTTGGAGCCTTGACGGACTGCCTTGTGACTCGCCGAAGAGGTTAGGGTTCGAAGGTTCGAGGATAAGAGAAGGGAATGGATATGTTCTAAGTTTAAGAGACGATTTAGAGGAATAAGGAAAAAAGGCTAGGCATAGGGCAAAAAAGAAGGTAAAATCGAATTTAATAAAATAAAAAGAGGAAAATATTTTGTGAAACCGACGCAATAGCCTAATATTCCAAATCACCGTTGCCATAGATGAATCTATTGGGACGGTTACAGTACCTTTGCCGTAGATTCATCTATTGCAACGGTTATTATACTATAGTAACGGTTTAGTCTTGGAACTGTCTCAATAGGGTGGAAAGGCTTATGCGACGGTTTTAACCGTTGCCATAGATTGTCTATTGCAACGGTTACACAGCCGTTGCTATACAATCCGTTGCAATAGGCTTATTTTCTGGTAGTGCAAATCAGACTCAACTCCTAATCCCTCAAGCTAAGGTAGACCAAACACTTACCTCGAACTTCCACGGCCAACTCAATCCTCAACAACCGCCTTTCCTTTTGAATTCGGCTCCCAAACAATCGTATCTATACACAAATGACTTCATAACATCAAATAATGCTAAACAATTCGAACCCAATGCCTAATTATAGCTTTTCCATCATTTTCCCCAAAAACTCAAAAATCGACCCCGGGCCCGCTTGGTCAAAACACGAGGTTCGGACCAAAATCAAATCCCCCATTCACCCACGAGCCCAAATATATAATTTATTTTCAAATTCGACCCCAAAACGGGGTCTAAATCAAGAAAAATCAAAAAGCCCTAGCTCTACCCAAATACCCAATTTTCTACCTTAAATCACATGTTTTAGGCCTAGGATTTCAATAGATATTGAAGGAAATGAAAGAAAATAAGCTAAGAATTACTAACCCAAGAGATTTTGATGAAGAATTGCTTCAATGGTCGCCTAAGGGCTTGGAGAAGAAAGGTTTTTGTGAAACTTTTTGTGAATCCCGAATGGCTACTGTTTTTGAATATTTAAAATAACTGGGCGAAAATACTTCTTCGCGTTCGCGAATGACTCACGCGTTCGCGATGAGTAAGGCCTACGGGCCTTCGCGTTCGCGTACAGGAGCTCGCGTTCGCGGAGAGTAATTCTCCTGGAGCCTCGCTTTCGCGTGAATACAGTCGCGTTCCCGTAGAACAACTGGTGACCCCTTCCCCCTATACCCTACGCGTTCGCGAGTAACGGGCCGCGTTCGCGAAGGGTCTCCCCCCTGAGCTTCGCGTTCGCGTCCCAATTCTCGCGTTCGCGATGAAGAAACTGGGCACCTGGGATTTTTGCCTTATGCGTTCGTGAGTAAGGCCACGCGAACGCGAAGGGTAAAATCCCTGGGCACTAACAGCAGAAAACCTGCAACACTTCTCAAGCCAGAACCATTCCGAAACACCTCCGAAACACTCCCGAGTCCTCGGGTCTCCCAACCAAACACATGCACTAACTCAACAACATCATACGAACTTATCCATGCAATCAAACCGCCTAAATAACCACAAAAACAAGGAATCAAACCTCAAAATCATGAATTTTCCCAAAACTTCATCAAGTTTCAAATTTAGAACTTTAAGTCCGAAACACGTCAAACGACGTCCGATTTTAACCAAACTTTACAGGAAGGACTTAAAACATATATAAGACCTGTACCGGGTGCCGGAACTAAAATAAGGGCCCGATATCAACACGTTCTAATCAAATATCATTTCAATTTTCCTTAAAAATTTAAAAAAAAAAAATTTCTTTTAAAAATTCATTTCTCGGGCTCGGGACCTCGGAATTTGATTTCGGGCATACGCCCGAGTCCCATATTTTTCTACGTACCCTCCGGGACCGTCAAATTACGGGCCCGGGTCCGTTTATCTAAAAAGTTGACCAAAGATAAATTTATTCATTTTAATATCAAAACTTAGCATTTTTCACAGAATTTCATATTTAAGCTTTCCGGCTACGCGCTCGGATTGCGCACGCAAATCGAGGCGACTCTAAATGAGGTTTTCAAGGCCTCGGAAGCATATAATTCATTTAAAACAGGTGATGACCCTTTGGGCCGTCACAATTAATTTTGCAGAGATTGCTCGCAACTCAAAGTAGATAAAAGTCGTATGCAGATAAGAGAAGAAGAGATTTAGCGTTCACAATTGGGGACAAAATGTTCCTACGAGTCTCCCCTATGAAAGTTTGATGCAGTTTAGGAAAAGAGGCAAGTTGAGCCCTAGGTTTATAGGACCGTATGAAATACTTGACCGAGTGGGAGCTGTGGCTTATCATTTGGCACTTCCTCCTTAGTTGTCTTTTATTCATCTAGTGTTTCATGTCTCAATGCTAAGAAAATGTATATCAGACTCATCTCTGGTGCTTGAAGCATTGATTATACCGCTCGATAAGAAGTTATCTTATGAGGAGGATCCGATAGATATTGTGGATGGGCAAGTAAGAAAGCTACGATCAAAAGAAATTGTGTTCGTTAAAGACTTATGGAGAAATCATACAGTTGAGGAAGCTACGCGGGAAGTAGAAAAAGTTATGCAAGCGAAGTATACCATTTATTTTAGTCTACAGGTACGTACTTGAGTTAAATTCGAAGATCGAATTTCATAAGGTGGGGAGGATGTAATACCCCAATATTTTAAATGAGGGCCTATTGGATATTTAGTAAATAATTTAAGTCCAAAGAAAAAAAAAAGAACTAACTAATAAAACAAAACAAATCAAAAAAAAAGAGGAAAAATGATAAATTGAAACAAAAAGGGTCGAAGCCCATTCTCTGGCCAAAAAGCGAAAAGAAAGAAATGGATTAAGGGAAGGGGGAAAGGCTCATGGCTGGAAAACAAGAAAATACAACGTGAGTTTGCCCTTCTCCTTCTGTTGAAGAGCACGACAAGAATTCAACACAGAGAAAACCAATTAAATAGAAAAGAAGAAGAGGAAGGTAAGTTTTTAAACTTAATTCATAGATTTGATTAATAAATTTCATGGTTATAGAGTTGGGGGTTGAGAATTAGTTGAAGAATAAATATTAATGAAATAATGGAATCCATAATTTTTTTTATGAATTGGTGAATATACTATAGGTTTGGGGTTATAAACTTATATGTTTCTGTATATACTAATTTAAAAATGGGATATTCCTTCCAAAACTTTGTTAGCGATTGGTAATCAAATATTATTGCTATTAATATTGGGAATATTGGAAAAAATTACAATTGAATTTTGATAGCAGTGAGCTGGGATACTGAAATGGGTCTTGATATTTCAAGTAGAATAAGAGGTTGTCACGACCAAAATCCTAACCTTTCGTGGTGGCGTCTATAGATGGTACTAGGCAAGCCGACATTTCCAAAATACTCCTAATGTTTAACAGAAATTAAATCAAGAAATTTTAAATAAGCAAAATTTTCATAAACAGGAGTAAAACCCAAAACACAAGGGCGGAAAAATAGCTCCCAATATCGGGGTGTCACTGAGCCCATGAGAATCTATACATCACCAGTCTAGGAATGAAACGTCTATAACAGTTTAGGTCCAAATAAAACGAAAGAAAAGATAAGGAAGGAGAAACAAGGACTACGAACGCCATACATCTACCTCGATATCTCTAACGGTCAGCTACGTGAAATATCAACACCCTCCGCGTCCAGAAACTCCTATTTCTGCACACGAAGTGCAGGGTGTAGCGTGAGTACAACCAACTCAATAAGTAGAAATAATAAATAAGGAACTAAAAGATAGTGACAAGCTACAGAGTTATAGTTCATTTTCAGTAGTCTCAAAAAGGAAAGTAGACACGCTTCCAAATCCGGGAAAATTAAGTCAAATCAGTTTATTCATGTCAAGGTCAAGTAAAACCAGATAAAATACCCTTCAGAAGTTTCCAAAATAGTGATATATGGCAACTATGTGCAACAACAATGAAATCATATACAGCCTCTCAGGGCAACAATAACTCACTCCTCCCATTCACGCCAACCTCACAATCATTAATTCCTCACAGCCACTCATCTCTCACGGTCTCTCAGCACTCGGCACTCGCATTCAATAGATACCTGCGCTCACTGGGGGTGTCTACAGATTCCGGAGGGGCTCCTTCAGCCCAAGCGCTATATCAAGCGAATCATGGCATAAATCAATGAAACATGCTGCGGCGTGCAGCCCGATCCCATAAATATCCTCACCATCAGGCCCTCGGCCTCACTCAGTCATCAACTCTCCAGTCTCTCGGGCTCTCAAAAATCAGGAAAAAATAGCCCAAACGGCAATAACATGAAGTATCAACCAGAATAATAGAGACAGAGATATGATATGCGAGTAAAAACTGAGATTGAGTACAGATAGCATTTAGCAGGTAATTTCAACATGTAACACGGCCTCTGTGAGTCCCAACAGTACCAACACATAGCTTTAACATGATTATAACATGATTTACAGTCAAATTTTATAACACATGGAGAGCATAAAGCTAGCAACAAGTTTATTAAAAATTTTAGTTTCACCGAATGGACCAACTCACAATTTCCACGGTGCACGCTCACACGTCCGTCACCTAGCATGTGTGTCACATCCAAAACAATCGCATAGCACAAAATTCGGGGTTTCATACCCTCATGACCAGATTTAGAACTATTACTTACCTCAATCCGAGCAAAACTCTACTCTAATATGTCTTTGCCTCGCGAATCGGCCTTCAAATGTTCCGAATCTAGCCACAAGCAGTACAATACAATCAATACGGGCTAAAGGAATCAATTCCACAAGAAAATACGAAATTCTAAGCCAAAATCCGAAATTGGCCAAAAGCCGGCCCCCGAGCCTACATCTCGAAATCTGACAAAAGTCGCAAACCCCGAAAGCCCATTCACTCACGAGTCTAACCATACCAATTTATCAAAATCCAACACTAAATGACCATTCAAATCCCCACAATTAACTCTCCAAATCACTAGCCTCAAACCCCCAAATTTCACCTCAAAAACACATCAACTAGGTGGAAAATCAGTGGGGGAAAAATAATTATTGAAGAAAAACGAACACATGGAGCTTACCTCAAGAATCCCCTTGAAAATCCTCTCAAAAACCTCCAAAATTCG